GTCTTCTACTATGCCATTCTGTATAGGACTGGTTCTTGGTTATTGAGCTGTTGTGGATTCATGACCTAATAATATGTCAATTAAATAAATGATTTTAACTGCAGCTGATCTAAGACTGTACAAACTATGTACAGGTACCATCCGACTTACGACCAAGTTTGGTTCCGACCAATCAGTCGTAAGTCAAAATTGACATAAGTCGAACCTTTGAAAATTGCCGACATACTGGGTAGGGCATAATGTCAAACCTTTCCTATATAAACTACCTACATAGTTCTGTAATGTAATGTACAATCATTATTTCATTCTTTTTACCATAATTTACTTCTATTGTTATATTTCAATTATTTATGTACTGTATATAATGAATACATGGTACTGAACTGTATTGTAAATTTTACATCGCATACAGTATCATATGTTACCGTTATCTTTATGTACTGTCGACACGGTGGAATGGAAGAATACCACTGGTAGCGTCATCCTGCCAAAATGTAGTATAACCTATACCCTAAGTAAAGAGAAACAACTCTGAAACATGTGTAATACGTATCCAGCTAGCTGGCTGGCTGGCCGGGTGGGTGGGTGGTTGGCTGACTAAATGTGGCTGTCTTTCTCTCTCTGTATCTCTCTCTCTATCTCTATCTCTCTCTCTCTCTCTCTCTCTCTCTCTCTCTCTCTCTCTCTCACAGGTACATGTAAGTGAAGTTATCAGACATAGCATAAATTACCTAGGATAACCCAAAAAATCCAGACAAAGTGCTATACAGTGGATCTGTGCTCCAGTGCCCTAAATTAATAATATTAATAATTATTATTATTATTATTATTATTACAATAATACATATGTACTAATATTAATAATAATATTATTATTAAACTATAATATAATAATTGTGTCCACTCATTACTTACCTTAAAATATCTGTAGTCTTAATGTAGATTGAGAGGCGAGTAAACAAGATTAAATGAATAAACGAGAGAGAGAGAATGAGAGTGTAGAAGGTTCACGAGTTATGTAAACAAACGTTGCTGTTGTTGTTGTTGTTACCAGCCCGGACATGAATGGTTTTTGTTCACTATGTCAAGCCGACGAGAAAAACATATCATATTTGTTATTTTATATGTTTACATGTTATGTAGGAAGGGTTGTTGAGGTGGTTCGGACATGTAGAGAGAATGGAGCGAAACAGAATGACTTCAAGAGTGTATCAGTCTGTAGTGGAAGGAAGGCGGGGTAGTGGTCGGCCTAGGAAAGGTTGGAGGGAGGGGGTAAAGGTTTTGTGTGCGAGGGGCTTGGACTTCCAGCAAGCATGCGTGAGCGTGTTTGGTAGGAGTGAATGGAAACAAATGGTTTTTAACCCTTTGACTGTTTCAGGCCCCTCTCTGAAACTGTCATTCTATGTCGCCAAATATTCAAAAAAAAAAAAAATTATTTTTTCTTATGAAAATGTTAAGATTATTTTTCTGAGTGTTTTAGTCCAAAAAAAAAATTTTTACCATCGGTACTTACCGAGATATAGAGCCGTGAAGTTTGCAGAAAATGAGCCGCGTATGGCAACAGCGGCGACTGCCGCTCACCCGGTAAACTTTAGTTTACTTGTAATTGAAGGTTTTTTGTTTTTTTTCACTATTTTATTTTTTCACATAACTTATGTGGCCTATGAGACCAAAGTAAGGTGCAATGTAATATATATACTCTCGTTGTATACAACACAATAAGCACACAAACATAATTATCAATATATTGTTTACAAAACTTGTTTACAAAAACAAAACAATCCTCCTCCTTCCTCCTCCTTCTTCTCCTCCTCCTCCTTCTCCTTTCCCCCTCCTTCTCTTCTCCTCCTCCTCCTCCTCCTTCTCCTCCTCCTCCTCCTTCTCCTCCTCCTCCTCCTCCTCCTTCTCCTCCTCCTCCTCCTCCTCCTCCTCCTCCTTCTCCTCCTCCTTCTCCTCCTCCTTCTCCTCCTCCTCTCCTTCTCCTCCTCCTCCTTCTCCTCCTCCTTCTCCTTCTCCTCCTCCTTCTCTTCTCCTCCTCCTTCTCCTCCTCCTTCTCCTCCTCCTTCTCCTTCTCCTTCTCCTTCTCCTCCTCCTTCTCCTTCTCCTCCTCCTTCTCCTTCTCCTCCTCCTTCTCCTTCTCCTCCTCCTTCTCCTTCTCCTCCTCCTTCTCCTCCTCCTTCTCCTCCTCCTTCTCCTCCTCCTTCTCCTCCTCCTTCTCCTTCTCCTCCTCCTTCTCCTTCTCCTTCTCCTTCTCCTCCTCCTTTTCCTTCTCCTTCTCCTCCTCCTTCTTTCCCTTCTCCTCCTCCTTCTCCTTCTCCTCCTCCTTCTCCTCCTCCTTCTCCTTCTCCTCCTCCTTCTCCTTCTCCTTCTCCTTCTCCTCCTCCTTCTCCTTCTCCTCCTCCTTCTCCTTCTCCTCCTCCTTCTCCTTCTCCTTCTCCTTCTCCTTCTCCTTCTCCTCCTCCTTCTTCTCCTCCTCCTTGTCTTGTGTGCGAGTGTGTGGCTTATAATTGTTTTGAGTCAGAAGTCGGCAGCTGTCAAAGTGACATATTGTCTCATTAGTCACTACCCCTACCGCCTGTCAAAACAATGGGGTCGGATGCTGCTTCCCCTCCTCCATTCTATCTAATTATCTTTCTCCCTCATTCTATATCTTTCAATCTGTCTCTCTTTCTATCTGTCTGCCTATCTCTGTCTCACAGGTACACATAAATACAAGTATACATAGTGTAAATTACCTAGGATAACCCAAGAAATCCAGACAAAGTGCTATACTCTGCTTGAAGATGTGAGTAAACGTGATGACACAGTCTTGTGGCTCTCTCTGAGACAGAGAGCTATACGAATAGACAGATAGACAGGGAGCTTGACAGACAGACAAATAGACAGACAGACAAATGTTTGTGTACCAGCAAAAACAAAGGGAGGGCGATGGTCATGTAATATTACCCTAATTTACGCTCATCAAAGTCAGCTCTTATCAGATGTTATCTCCCCTTATCTTGTCACTGTCATGGGGTGGACTTTTTTTTTTCTTGCTTCAAGGGAACAATATTATTACATCTTCTTCTTCCTCCTCCTCCTCCTCCTCTTCTCCTCCTCCTCCTCCTCCTCTTCTTCCTTCCTTCCTCCTCCTCCTCCTCCTCCTCCTCCTCCTCCTCCTCTCCTCCCCCTCCATTGCTTTTGGTCTCAAACTCCTCCAAATCATGAAATTGATCTTCACTGACACTTCCATCTGTGTTAGAGCATCACTTGGGAAGAGAAGAGTCCCAGATTTGCTGGGGAATCACATATTTCTTACCGCTAGACATGCTGAAAAAGGACAACTGAAATGGCATTCCCACAATGCACCACTGGCTCCCCGATTTTTTTTATATGGTGCACACTGACCATGGAGACCCATTCTCTCACATGTGGGCCTACCAGCTTTCTCCTGCTTGATTTGAAGCTGCTAGAATTTATGCGTATAAATACGTCAGAAACATTGGCTTGTAAGACGTATTTATACGTCGGAAACAGTCAAAGGGTTAATACTTGACGTGCTGTTGGAGTGTGAGCAAAGTAACATTTATGAAGGGATTCAGGGAAACCGGCAGGCCGGACATGAGTCCTGGAGATGGGAAGTACAGTGCCTGCACTCTGAAGGAGGGGTGTTAATGTTGCAGTTTAAAAACTGTAGTGTAAAGCACCCTTCTGGCAAGACAGTGATGGAGTGAATGATGGTGAAAGTTTTTCTTTTTTGGGCCACCCTGCCTTGGTGGGAATGGACCAGTGTGTTAATAAAATAAAAAATGTTATGTAGCATGTTTATTATATAATTTTGAAAAAAAAAATCATATATGGATTAAGCAAAATGTCTATATTAATGTTTTATACACATTTAATGCACCTCAGTGATTATTATTGTTATTATCATTATTAATATGGTGTCTTCAAGACCAATTACACTCTTAATGAGTGGCTCTGAGACAGACAAGCAGACAGAAAAACAGACACAGGTAGACAGAAAGACAGACACACAGGTAGACAGAAAGACAGACACACAGGTAAACAGAAAGACAGACACACAGGTAGACAAAGACAAACACACAGGTAGACAGAAAGACACACACAGGTAGTCAGAAAGACAGACACACAGGTAGACAGAAAGACACACACAGGTAGACATAAAGACAGACACACAAGTAGACAGAAAGACAGACACACAGGTAGACAGAAAGACACACAGGTAGACAGACAGATGCAGGTAGACATAAAGACAGACACACAGGTAGACATAAAGACAGACACACAGGTAGACAGAAAGACAGACACACAGGTAGACAGACAGATAAACAGACATACAGAGATACAGACAGACACAGATATACAGGCAGACAGATTCAGACAGGTTTACATGCAACAGTGAAAACAAATAGAGAGTTCGAGAGTAAGAGCCTTTCTTGCCACAATCTCCAGTGCAAGATTCAGACTTCCTCTTACGGGCCATGGTGAAATTTACTGTCCAGTTAGTACAGTTAATACAGTATGATGCTGATAGGGCAGGGTTACTCAAACTGATGCTGCCTGCATGACGCATTGCCGCCGCGAGTATTGTCAAATATTGTACAGTGGTGTGCATCAGCCGGCCCAGCCCAGCTAGATGTACGGTCGTAAGTCGGACGGTAGGTGTATTTGACTAATATTTTCTGATGATAGGATAAACAGTGACCCAGAGCCAATCCTTGTTTTTTTTTTTTTTTCATTCAAACAGATTCTGCATGCACAAGCAAATTTTCAATCCATGACTATTCTCATGGAATATAGTCCATGTGAGTTATTCACTGACTGATGACTGATTCAGGGTTTCTCAAGAAAAACATGAATTCACTCTGAGATCAAAATGTACATTACTCAAGAATTTTTTATTTTATTTTCTCTATGTATTTTTATTTATTTACCCTTACCGGAGATGAAAAATATTAAATATGCTGATTAAGAAAAATTTAAAAGCTTTAACTTACGTTATCTTAGTGACAGTATCTCGGAGAATTTCTTTCATAGTAAGTGCATTAGCTTGAGACGTTTTTCTAAGATTTCTGACGTCCGTTCTCAGCTCCTTAGCCTTCTTCTGTAATACCCTAAGTTGGTTATAAACTTCAGGGGAGAGGCGCAAGTCTGTAAATATTAAACAAGTCAGTTTGTGAAAAGGCACTAATAAACGTCCTACATTTTCATAATTAAGTCCACAGTTGAAAAGTTAACTCCCACATAAAAAAAAATTGTTATGGCACATTTACTGTTTAAATAAATTTCATTGATTTTAACTTCTGTAATAAACAGACCTAATAGAGAAGTGCCCAAACACACTTTTCAAAGGTAAGCATATAATCAGAGAGCAAAACAAGGAATTGGGTAAACAGCTCAACAGATCAATAGCATAATAAATAACAACTGGTGCATCATCACATCTTTCTCATTATATGTAAGAAAATTAAGATTTGACTGTCAAACCTGAATAGGAATAAACACAATATTATACCACCACATATAAAGCACTATAACCAATAACCATTCACCTTTCAAAAATTAGTGACTCACCCTATCCATCACCATGGGTAGCCACTGTATTTATTTTGCAACACATTAGTGACCCATCCTATTCATCACCATGTACTATTGTATTCACTTTTCAACAGATTAGTGATCAACCCTATTCATCACCATGGGTAATTATTTGCTTCTCAACAGATTAGTGACACAATTCATACATTACTGAATGTAACTTGCTAGTACTCACCTCTCAACAGATTAGTTACATATATCTATACATTATATATATAAATACAAACACACACACACACACACACATACACACACACACACACACACAGAGGAGCTATGACTCGACCCCTGCAACCACAAATAGGTGAATAACACCACACACACACACACACACACACACACACACACAACACACACACACACCACACACACACACACACACATGCACGCACGCACGCACGCACGCACGTGCACACACACACACACTCTCTCTCTCTATGGGTAACCATTTACTTCTAAATAGATTAGTGACACTTAATGCATCACTGAGAATAACTGCTGGTACTCACTTCTTAACCCTTTCAGGGTTTTGGATGCACTAGTACGGCTTACGCACCAGGGTTTTTGATGTACTAGTACGCCTAAATTCTAGCGCCCTCAAGTCTAGTGAGAGAAAGCTGGTAGGCCTACTTATGAAAGAATGGGTCTATGTGGTCAGTGTGCACAGTATAAAAAAAATCCTGCAGCACACAGTGCGTAATGAGAAAAAAAAACTTTGCCGTGTTTTTGGGTTAAAACAGCGACTTTGCACTGTATTTTTGTATGATATTTATTGTTGTATTCTAGTTTTCCTGGTCTCATTTTATAGAATGGAAGACATATTACAGAAAATCGAAATGATTTTGACTGGTTTTACAATGAAAAGTACCTTGAAATTGAGTTCAAAGTAGCAGAAATGTTCGATTTTTACCAAAGTTCAAAAGTAAACAAATCATGCTACGCGTCCAATACACGTCAACTGGTGAGTCTAATATTCTTTCACAAGTGCGCTGATATAATTTATACCATTTCTACACTAATGCAGTAGTCTGCATAAGAGTAAATATTCTATTTTTTTGTGAGAATAAAAATTCAAAATGGAAAGCAAAAGAATGTAAGAGGGGCGTGGGAATGTGACTAATGAACAGAGGAAATGTTACTTTAGTGCCAGGAACGTCTTTCTTGTTTATTCTGGACCCTATTCGGAAATTGGCATCTTTTGAAATTTGTATGAAATTGGCAAAATAGCTAAATTCTGACCACTTTATTGGATAGTTGAAATCGGTAAATGGGTGGTTTCTTGTACTCATTCTGTAGAAAAAATGGAGTTCTAGCAAAACAGTTATGAGTTTTGTCGACTAGTACACTGAAAATGGCCGAAAATAGGGCTTAAAGTGGGCAAAGATTCCAATGCCTTATTTTTTTCATGTGAGAGATTTTAACGATCCAATTGATATTCAAAGAGTTCAGAAAGTTGTATCAAGCAAGTCCATGGTCGACAGGAATATAATTGAATCTTGTTTCATAAAAAGCAGTTTTGACAATAATATGAATATTTCCTTTGGTTTATATAAATTAGATCCATTTATAATCAATAGAATTTGGGAAGAATTTAATAATACATTGGACAAATAATATATTTTAAAATTCTTAATTCTTGGGTAGTATAGTTTGTTTGTGGGTTGTGTGAAGGACCTGTCTAGTTGGGCCAGCGGGCCTACTGCAGTGTTCTCTTTCTTATGAGTCATGCGTCAGGTGTTGCTTTGTTTTGGGATGTGATAGTGAGGTGTGGTCAAGACCCTTTATATGCCTTCCTCCTATACATTACTTTTATTGTTCCTTGATAATGTGAGTAGTCACGAAAGCGCTTGGAATTTCTCCATTCATTCACAGTGGTTGTTTTGCATATTCTGAAATCACCTGTTTACTGTGATCGTATTTTGCGTGGTGTGTGTGTGTGTGTGTGTGTATATATATATATATATATATATATATATATATATATATATATATATATATATAATTTTTTTTTTTTTTTCAACAAACCGGCCGTATCCCACCAAGGCAGGGTGGC